TATATATATATAAAATGCATAATAAAATATATAAACATATGAAATATTATATTAATTATAACAAATTTGATTAATGATATATATTTGATTTGATTGACTATGATAGTATATATTGTATTACAAATAATATGTGTGATTATTTTAAAGTCTTTAAATTGGTGGCAATTAGTGGACTGTAAGAGGAATAACATGAGTGTCTCTAGTTACTTGCATGTGATTATCAATATCATTAATCAGAGGTTTCTATCTGTCCTGTATGTGAGTGTGTGTGTGTGTGTGTGTGTGTGTGTGTGTGTGTGTGTGCGTGTGTGTGTGTGAATTATCTGGTTGATTAGCTCCTTGCATTTCTAATCAAGTTATCAAGACTCTATAATGCTCCTCAAAAAATTAATTGCTGAAATGAGCATTTGTAATCAATATGTATATGAGAGCGAAAAGAAAAAGTAGAGAATTTTGTGTGCGCGCACATTTGTGACAAAGAGGCAGAAAAGACAGAATGTGAACAGGCGAACAGAAAAAAACTGTCATAAAATATCCTGTTTGTTTTGCCTCACAAAAAAAAACAAAAAAAACATAAGGAAACAGTACACTTCCATCCAGTCTGCAGATCAGTAAGTCATTCTCTCTGCACACGTCAGTAGATTTATTGTCTGCTGAAAGCAGGAATTCTCAATCTCTTCTCAGCCTGGAGTCTTTGGTCTCATCTCCCCTCATCTCACTCTGAGCCTCTGCAGCAGATCCACGGCTTCATAGAGATATTTCTCTCCACTCTCCTGGAGAATCAGACTACCTGTTGTTCTATCCTTCCTTTATTAAATAATACTTTATAGAGTTGGAAACCCTCTTAAGGAACAGATCTCTACAAACTTTCAAGTACTTTCAAGTCAAATATTTGGCCACTGAAACCCCATGAGACAAAAATTGTGTTTGGGAAGTTATACAGTAGAATACTATTGAGCATTGAGCAGTTAAGATAAAGATTCATTAGATAGTTTGAGATAGTTTGAGCACCACACAAACACACACACAATAGTTGGAGGCAAGTGACTGTTTTATGAATGAGTCAATGAGTCATTCATTCAAATGAATTGTTAAAAAATGCTGATTCATTCAAGAAATAAATGTGACTGTCTTAAATGAGTCACTGAATCATTCACCTCAATGGTTTGTTTAACCTAGTGCTGTCGCGATTAATCGCATCCAAAATAAACGTTTGTGTTTGCATAATATGTGTGTACTGTTTACATATGTACATATACACCCATACATGTGTATATTTATATTTATATATAATATAAATCATATATATGTATGTGTGTATTTATGTATACATACAAATATACACAGTACACAAACATATTATGTAAACACAAACGTTTGTATGCGATTAATCGATTTGACAGTACAAGTTGAAATAATACAAAATATAAGTAGATTGTTTATTATATAGAACCCTTGCCAATTGTCTCATATTCTGATGTAAAACATTTAAAAATAAAACAAATGCTTTATGTTTAAAGCCCTTTTGTATAACACTCTTAACATAACTAAATCTATTAAATAATGAGAGTATTTGGCATCCATAAGTCATGAGGACACTCATAGCATACAAATGACACTGCTTTATGAGAATGAACCAGATTAAACGACTGTCATTTCACACTCACAAAAAAATGTGCATTTAAAGTTTGTGAATCCTTGAGCAAACAAATAAAACAAAACAGCATGCCATGCTCGTCTGCTCAAATCCTTAAAACCCCTCCCGTTCTCAACCAGCCGTCTCATCCAGAACAGGTTTAACTACACCTGCCTTCACTTCCTCATTTATGCCCTTATTTTTGCGCTGATAATCTGTGAGCTATGAGAAAGATTCAACCACGTAGTCAAGAGTGCAGATGAGCAGTTCACTCTTAAGAGTGAGAGAAGCAGGTGTGCATCCTAAAATACATCAGGTACGTATACTACAAATCAAACTTGCATACACTAAAAATGGTTTGATATAAACTGCATCAAATCAAACCCTCTGTGATGCACATATTATGTTTGTATCTATTTCAGAGCTTGTTCTTTTCAATGATTTGCAAACCTATGAAATCATTGCTCATTTAGCTGATCATGGGGGCTTCACAAAGCAAGGATAAGATGCAGTGCAACAGATACCTGAATGGAAAAGGTCCTCCGCCGCTGACTGAGACAGGTGAGCTTCTGAGCGCTTTCTGTCGAGCACATCATGGTCAATCTGACATACACTAGGTATATGACACTGCAAGACAAATGGAACACAAAAATATGCTTCCACTTTTAAGAATGCATGAATGCTATTGCATTAGATAATAAAATATGAAACCATACGGCTTTTATATACAAAAAAAATTACAAAAGCACACTTTTCAATCAAATTCTAGCATGCTTTTTTCCAATAAATCTGTATATTATGAATTATTGTTGACTCCTTGTCAAATTGCTTTTGTTCCTCTTTTGTAAGCCGCTTTGGATAGAAGCTTCAAAAATGTTTGGAGACTTTGTGGTTGTCAGACAGGAACATGTTCATACAGTAGTTTATGTAATAAACTATACCTGGTTACACTGCTAGAACCCCTGTGTGAGTTTGAAGTCTGACATGGACCTGTTAGCTAAAAATAATCAAGCATTAGCTCAGGAATGTGAAGTTCTCTCTTATTTAGTGTCTGTTTTATTTTATGTTTGTTCAAACAGGTGGTCAAGGATCAAACAACCACAAAAAGAATAGTGTGATAAAACAAGGAAACCAGCCAGACGGAGGGCAGATGAATTGGAATATCGAGAGACGGAGTTTGCCGGGACATTCTGACTGTGACACCATTCAAATCGTCTTTCATTTTGATGATGGAATCCAGTCGGTGAGCTTATGATGTGCTCTTATTTTTTATTGTATCACTTCGACAATGTTTTAGTATCGAGGTGAATAGACACACCTTTTCAGTGTATCACTGACAACTCTAAAACATCTCAGTTATCCGTCTTTCTGCTCTGTGGAATCCTGTCTGGCTTGTTTCTCATTCACTTCCACGGGGCAAATGGAGACACTGACAGATGTATGCTGATAACTACTGAAATCCCCTGTCATGATAGGCACTAATGCCTGAAGTGTTTATAAAGCGCTTTGCTTGAGCTTTCATACAGTGTCCCATCAGTTGTTGTTTTTTTTATTCATGTGAATGCATAACTTGAAAAACAGCTTTACTGTAGTCCCAAAGTTTTACTTTAGTTTTAGGCATGTAAATAAATTATTATAAATAATAAATAAATAAATATGTTCTTATATCATTTGTAATTTATAATTTATTTTATATACAGTATAATTTAATATAGAATGTTTTATTTTCTAAATCGTTAATTTAAATTTAAAATAATTGCTCAGAATAAATAAATAAATAAATAAATAAATATATATATATATATATATATATTGCCCATTAAAAAAACATTTTCTACACTTGAAGTTCAACTTGATGTACTAAAATAACTAAAACAAAATAAAAGTTAATAACAAATATATGGACATGTTTTAACAAAAGAAAAGCTAAAAAAGTTGAAGAAATTACAACAAAATAAAAAATGTTTACGTATGTGTGCATATATTTGAAGAGTTCATTTGCAAAAACAGATAACTCCATTTTTTGAAAAATGTTCAAAAATCATGTTTTTTTTTTGTCCTGCATTCCTGCTGTGGTGATGTGGTAATGTGGTCACGTTGGTGGCTCTGGGAAGAATCCGCCGACTCTCCCGCCTCCACAAGGCTCTCCTGGCGGGAAACGCGCGAACGCCCACAGACGCATGACGAGGAGAAAAACAAATACACTTAACCAGATAAAGTTCACTGGAGTTCTAACAACACGCACACCAAAAATACACAACATTGAATAAATTAAACAGACTTCCCAATACTTTATATATATATATATATATATATATATGCACACACACACACACACGTTTTAAAAAAAAAGAAAAACTAAAACAAAATGTGAAAAAAATCACAACACATATACACTTTTTGTGCTTATGTTTGTATGAAAATAGTTTTATAACTTAATTTAAGTATGCAAGTGATCAGCTTAAGTAACTCACCCTGCAGGACAAGCAGCCTCATCCAGGACACAGCTACAAGGGCACTGAATTTGTGGCCTACCTGCCTCAGAACATCACAGGGACCAAGATACTCCAGCTACTGGAGCAGGCCTTCGAACACAAGCTGCTGTTCACTGTGGCGGCCAATAGCAGCGGTGAATACTGCGTGATGCCTGCAGATATACCACTGAAGACTCTGGACAGTGGGGGACCTGGAAGGTATATAATAGTTATTTATAAATATGAAATGAATTCCAAATAATAGATCAGTGTTCACCACAGTTCCTCTTCATTGCTAAGTTCAAATATAAATATTGTCACTTTACTAAACAACAACAACAAAAATATCTGGAGAAGATATACTTTGTATTAATTTGCACTGTATTTTTTCATTATTTAAATACTTTACAATGAAAATTCCCATTTTTAATAAAAAATTCCAAATTTTTAAATGAAAATTATTTTTTTTCTTTTAAAACTATATTCAGGTTTGTTTTTATTTCTTACTTCCTTTGAATAAAATATTCTATTATTTTATTCTAAATTAATTTGATGACTTTGCCTTTAACCGTAATTAAAAATGAAACAATAATAATATAAACAATAAATATATAATATACTAAAAAGTATTTCAATTCAATTCATATGCTCTAGAAAACTTTTTTATTTTATTATTTAAACTTTTTTATTTTATTATTATTTTTTTTTTTTAAAGTTAATTTTGTATTTTATTAAGAATAATACATCTGTAATAAAATCTAATTTCATAAATCTAATTTTTAAAAATCATTCTGTTTAACATTTAGCTTTTTAAAAATCTTTTTTATCTCTCAGATTTTCAGCGGGCCTCCTGGGGGTCCCCACTCTATTTCAGCTATACGTTTTAATGTTGAAGTTAAATAATAATCCAGTAATTTTCTCTGTCCTATTGTATCAGCTTGGGCTATCCAGATCCAACGTACTTGAAATCAGTGAGGAAAAGTCTCAAGGTAAAGGGGATCAAATGAGAGAGAATGGACTACTAATACTACAACTGTTGATTCCAAACCTCATCATGACCCTGCATGATGAAGATATGGATATGGTGATGGCATGATTACATGGAGTTTGACATGTCCAAATCTACAGAACCTGGTCAAGGCTGATCAATTTGAGAATGAGGACCTTTATATGCTGAAACCGAGTTGCAACGATGCACATGGCGACTTGTGAGATGTAGTGTATTTTCTATTAAAAAGATGAAGAATGAAGTAAGACAGTATTGTATACACTGCAAACCATTGTACAGTATATTTGTTTAAAGTGTTTTAAATAATTTAAAATAAAAAAAATATTTAACCACTTTATGGATTTTTTATATGATTTTTCTACATCAGTACATTTTCTTATCTGTGTTTGGTAATAATTATATGCTGTTTATTAATATTTTGAGTTAGCTTCGATTTTCTATTTTCAGTTTAATTTTTATTTTGTCATTTTTCATTTTTTTTATATTTCTATTTAGCTTTAATTGATTGTTCTTTCTGTGTTAGTTTAAATAATTTTAGTACATCAACTTAAACTTTTTTTCAGTTTTTCATCCAATATCTATTTTCAGCTTTCAGCTAACAAACATGGATTTTAATTGTTTTATTTTAGTTTTACTTAACAAAAACATCACTTATTCTTATTCTTTAAATTAATCTGACTCAAATATTGATTATAGGTTATTATAAATGAAGAAAATAAGGAGGAATTCAACATTAAAGGCAGCGAGCATCGCATAGTACTCTTCTCCACCTGCTCAGTCCGCACTGCCTGCCAGGTGAAGTCAACATATCCTCTGCAATATTTCCTCCGTGCCTGAAATGTGTCTGCACATTGCCGAGTGTGAACTTTCCCAGGCTGACGGTGGCCCTCTATTCTCCTCAAACTGAATTACACACCAGGCTTCACACTCACAATAAAGAGTAATCGGATTGGCAGGCCCCATTAGAGAGGGCTCCGTCATCTCCAGGGGTGTTCTTAAACCACTTTCTCGTGGACGCTCCGCCAGGAGTCATCCGTCCCGACTGTCAGCCTCCACCACGACTCTGACAGCTATCAAATCTGTTCCTGCCCCATCTTCCTTCAATCTGCAGTGCTCTCCGCTCCTCCGTCACAGCTCCCTCTCTCTCTCCGTTCACGACCCGGAGGAGCCGGGCTCTGTCTAGATGTGACACAAACCTGCCTATGACTACCTGCCCTATTATTTTAATTATTTAAAGCTGCAGTCTGTAACTTTTTTTTGGTTAAAAATGATCCAAAATCAATTTCTGAGCAAGTACGTAACCAGCCAGTGTTAAAAACTCGAGAGATCTCTTTACCTTAGCCCGATTCACAACGGTAAACTTATAACAGTGTTTTCTAATTTGGTAGGAATTCGCGGGAAATTCAAGCATGCCATTACATCATTACGTCACATCTGTAAACATAAAGAAGTTGTCCCGGCTAGTAGGCTATACTGCAAGGTGAGAATCCAGCAGGTGGCGGATCGTTTATAGCCTTTTCTCACAGCAGCTGGAATAATTAAAACTCATTTTGATGGCGGATTGTAATCCAGAAAGGATTATGTCTGTGTTTATGAAACACATGTAAGTGATTGAAATTAGATTATATTCCGGTTTTAAATGTGCATCTGATTACAGATAGCGTACGTGGGATTACACAAGTTTTGTACTTTAAAGAGAACCAGTTCTAAGGAAGAATAATTTGCGTTAAAAGAAATTCTTTATATGAAATTCAAATGGTATTACAATTAGAGATTAGAATGAACAGAAATTTAAATCTACATGTAATGCTAATACACACTAAATACACATAGTCACACAATGCTGATGTTGTTAACATTAACAATTTGAGAACAAAGTATAACAATAATTATAATTTGCACAGTTTGATGTGATATGAGCTAAGCAATCATTAGATTTAATCACAATTGGTAACGCAATTTATTGTAATGCTTTTTTCTTCAGTTGGGCAGAACAAAAGTGGCAGACTTGTTACTTTCTTGTTCAGATGACAATATCGGGTGAAAATTCTTATTTGGGTCATAATTCCAACACGTAGGCTAGAATCTGTGATTCTGAAGTACATTATCCACACCGGTGCGGTGACTAAAAGCCACACATCAAAACATTACATTCATCCGCACTGCGAAGCCATGCCGATGCACAACCCACATAAAGAAAATAATTCCGCAGATAACTGCAATTGCAGGTTTCAAACAGAGATGGTGAAAAAGAGGCAAAACTTACGGACTGCAACTTTAACACTTACTTACTGACTTTAATTATGATTTAAAAACTTCCTTATTTCCTTATTTAAGAACGAGCGTGACCATTTGTAAATTACATGTGCGCACTTCGTATCATCCGCTTCATTGTTTTTTAGCAAAACAGCTCATATTGCTTTAATGTATTGTTGCAATAATAAACACACTGGTTTCTAGCTCAAATAGTTTTACCACTTACTACACTTACTGTAGGTTACTGTTATTCTTCTTTTTTACAGTCAGCTGTAGTTAGCCCATTTATTATCCACCTTTTTCCAACGCCCAATGATGCTTTGAATAAGGTAATAAGCATTTTCAAAAACTGGGTATGAGTTGACATTATACTCATTAAAAGTGTAAAAGCATTAAAAAAATACTTTCAACACACAATAACCTCAAAAGCTCGATTATTTCCACAGCAATATTAAATAATAGATGTCTGTCTGTATTATGTAATGTCTGTATTATGCGTTTCCTTCATCAAAAATGTTAATTAACTGGAACATTGAGTGATAATATTTCAAAGTTATTTCTGTCATATTGACATATAATAAATATTGTGTTTACCTGCTTCAGATACATTCCAGTAAACACTGCTAATAGGGATTAGAAGTGAGAAGTGGAGACAATTACATTTTAAAGCATTGTCGTGAAACAAACCTGGAAAGACATCTGAGATTGTAGATATTCCTAAGAAATAGTAGGCTAAATAATAAGTGCATTCCAGTTAATTATTCATGGGATATACCCAAAACTGGGTAGATTACTTACAAATTGTAGCCCATTACTGATTCCAAATGATTCCTTACGAAATGTAACCATGGTTTTACTACAAAACAAAAAAAAAACATGGTTGCTATAGTTAAACCAAGGTAACCACAAAATAACCATGGTTTTGTTACACAAACCAAATGGTATTTGTAGTAAAACTGAGATTATACAAATGGTAATCATTATACCAAAAAAACATGGTTATTATACTTTTACTATAATAAACCCATGGTTCAATTGTCAAGGACATGACAAAAATTGTAGTTAGTAATGTAATGCATTACATTACACATAATATAATCGGACTACTAGATTATTTTAGATTACTTTTGACATCATTTGTTTATCACATTGATTTAAATAGGATAATTATTGACATTATTGACAAAAATACAAAGAGTAAGAAAATATATTCCTGGAGTTTGTGAGTTTAATGAAAAGCTAATAATTAATCAAATCATAAAAACATAAAATTAAAATGTAATTTTTAAAATAACATCAATCAAAATAAAATACTAAAAAAATGAAATATTTTATTTGTTTACTGCTAGTTTATTGCAATTGTGTGAATAATTTGTAATCATGAAACAGTAACTGTAGTCTGATTCTGAGTATTTTAAAGGGGTCATATGATGCGATTTCAAGTTTTCCTTTCTCTTTGGAGTGTTCAAGCTGATTGTGCATAGATAAGATCCCTGAAGTTGCAAAGACTAAAGTCTCAAAACCAAAGAGATATT